GGCCTTGCAGCAGAAGGGTGAGTGGCCGCCATGCCACCCCCCCCCCACCATGGTTTTGTCCTTTGAGTTCTGTGCAAGAGCAGGAGGAATTTAGTTCCGACAACAAAAGAAGCGCTTTCCTGGACATTGTTTTAATAAAGACTCCAGGCTGGGAGGAAGGGTCGGGGAGGCTGGGCATCATGGAGAACGGCGGCCCTTAGGGGCCTGCTTGTTAGCCCAGCAGGGCTACGTCGCCCTGTCTGCACAGGCGGGCCCTGGTGACCTCCAGCATCCGTTCTCTGAGACACTGGCTCCGGGGACCCAGTGTGCGTTTGGGTTGTTTTGAAAGCCCACGTCTGTGCCTCTCTCTCCTCTGATCCCCTCTGTGTCTCTCTCCTGCACCCTCTGCCTGGGGTCCCCCACGCCAGTCGAGTTGCTTCCTGCCGAGCCCCTCCCATCCGACGACCCAGCAGGTAGAGGTCATGAGGGCGTGGCTTTGGCCAGGCCGCCCCTGCCGTGTCAGCATGTGTCCCCCCCCTGCCCGTAGAGAGGCTCCCAGGCTTCGCCGGGTTGGGGTGCTTGGCTCTGTACCCCCTTGTCTCCAAAGTCTTCTCTTCTGATCTTGCTCTCGCTTCTGCACTGTGGGGGACCCCCCCCCGTGGCTCCTGCCAGCTCCCCTGGCTACTCCCGCAGTAGGCAGGGTGCTGCATGCGCCCTGCTCACGTGTGCAAGCCTTGGTTGTGGTCTGGGGCCACTGGCCATCGTGCTTCCTGGGCACCAGCTGGGCTGGGCTGTTCCTTGTGTGGGCTCAGGACGTGCAAAGAGAACCAGAGCCTGACCTTGGTGGAGTCCCCGGCCCGGAGCTGTGGGGGCTTCCGGGTTGCTGGTGCTGGAGGGCTGCCCCGTGTTCACCCTTGCTCTGGCCATGCTGCTCCTGTGTCCCCTCTCCGGATTGGTGAACACACCGTGATGCCCACCTGTCCCTCCCCCAGGGCAGCAGGTGATCGAGGAGCAGCGCCGCCGGCTGGCTGAGCTGAAGCAGAAGGCGGCGGCAGAGGCGCAGTGCCAGTGGGAAGCCCTGCACGGGGCGGCGCCCTTCCCCGCAGGCCCCTCGGCCTTCCCCCCCATCATGCACCACTCCATCCTGCACCACCTGCCTGCCGGGCGGGAGTGTGGCGAGGAGGGTGAGCATGCCTACGACACGCTGAGCCTGGAGAGCTCAGACAGCATGGAGACCAGCATCTCCACGGGGGGCAACTCCGCCTGCTCCCCCGACATGTCCAGGTGCCTCCCACGCCCCGCCCGCCGCCCCTGCCACAGCTCCCCTCCCACGCCTTGACGCCTCTTCTCTCCCCCTTTCCTTCCCAGCACCAGTGGTCTGGATTTGGGCAAGATCGAAGAGATGGAGAAGATGCTGAGAGAGGCCCACGCGGAGAAAAGCCGTCTCATGGAGTCCAGGGTGAGGCTGGCTCAGCCCGGAGGCAGGAGCGGTGGGGCGGAGAGCGGCCCTCTGCCTGCCAAGCCCTTCCACCCCCATGAACTGCACCGCGCACCCTCAGGGCAAAGCGCTGTACATGTTTGTGTTTCTCAACTGGGGCATGGGAGACCCAGCAGGTTGAGGCCTCCCCGCGTGGCAGGACGGAAGACTGCCGGACAATGACCTCGTTCCAGTCCTAGGTGTCTTGTATTGGAGCCTCTGCCCCTAGGCTTATTTCTGAGGACCCTTTAAGAGCCATGGGGCTTTTGATTCTTAACCCGTTCCTTTGGGGGATGATTAGGAAACGCAGGACGCAGGACCTGGGGGTTGCAGTATAGAATGGAGGAGGAGGCAGGCAGCCAAGCCAAGACAAAGGTTTTGCCTGAGGAGTCCTGAAGTAGGCCAGTCATGTCCCTTTCAAGCTGGGACTTGGCAGAGAGGGGCCGTGGGCACAAGCAGGGAACCTGTGCCTGGGGGGACACGGGACACATTGCAGGTGATCTATCTCTTTTGAGGCACTCTGCATCTTTTTGTTCTTTTTAATTGATCATGGGACTTGAATTCAGGCCCTTGGCGCTGTCCCTGAGCTTTTTGGCTCAAGGCTAGCACTCTACCACTTTGAGTCACAGCTCCACTACCCACTTTTTGGTGGTTAATTGGAGAGAAGAGTCTCACAGACATCCTGCCCTGGCTGGCTTCAAACCATGATCCTCAGATCTCAGCCTCCTGAGTAGCTAGGATGACAGGCATGAGCCAGCAATACCTGGCCCAGAAGGAGGTATTCTGAGTCCCATTTTTCAGATGAGGCATATGAGGCGTAGAGAGCTGAAATGAGGTACTGAGTCACAGCCCTTAGTGGTAGCAGAGCAAGGCTCTTAAGCCAGGGCAATCACTGATGAAGGCATTTGTTCTCAGCCCACAGAGCTGGTGGAGAGGGTGGGCCTCTTCTGTCAGGCCAGCATCTGAGGTGCATGCCTCCTGCGGGTCTGCTCAGAGCGGGGTCTGAAGAGAGCGGGGAGGGGGGAACCCCAGGCTGACTGTGGGCACTGATCGCTGGCTTTGTGCCAGGAACGGGAGATGGAGCAGCGGCGGCAGGCCCTGGAGGAGGAGCGGCGGAGGCGCGAGCAGGTAGAGCGGAGGCTGCAGAGCGAGAGTGCCCGGAGGCAGCAGCTGGTGGAGAAGGAGGTCAAGATGCGGGAGAAGCAGTTTTCCCAGGTTAGCGGGTGCAGGGTGTGCTGGTGGCCGGCTGGATGGTTGAGCCTGTTTTCTAGTTGCTGTTGGCAGCCTGACACCTGTGGCTCACACCTGTAATCCTAGCTTCACAGGAGGCTAAGATCTGAGGATCACTCTTGGAAGCCAGCCAGAGTGGGAAAGTCCATGAGACTCTTACTGCCAAATAACTACTAAGAAGTTTGAAGTGGAGCTGTGACTCAAGTAATAGTGTGATAACCTTAAATGAAATGCTAAGGGACAGTGCCCAGGTTCTGAATTCAAGGTCCAGTATTGGCGTGCACACATGTGTGCGTGTGCACACACACACACACATCGCTGTTTGCTTTGCACAAGCCAACCTACACCTGGGACTCATTGGCTCCCAGAAGCAGAGAGCCACTCAGGCTTGTTCCAGCTGAGGGGTGTGTGTGTGTGTGCATGTGTGCGTCCTGTGTGCACACGTGTGTTAGGTTGGAGGGGATTCAGGACTGAAGATGAGAAGTGAGGACAAGGGAATGATGGGACCAGAGATTGCTGACCTTGCCCTTTGCCCCCAGGCTCGACCCCTGACCCGTTACCTGCCAATCCGGAAGGAGGACTTTGACCTGAAGACGCACATCGAGTCCTCAGGCCACGGAGTGGACACGTGCCTGCACGTGGTGCTCAGCAGCAAGGTACCAGGCCTGCACAGCACAGGCCGCCGGAACCGGGCGCCGCGTCAGAGGCCCTCACGGGCCGTGGAACAGTGGCCTCGATTCCTGCCCCAGCCTGGCCGGGTGGGGTGGTTAGATTGGTGTCTGCCTGAGGGGATGCGGGGACAGCCCCATGAGTATGGGGACAGACAATGGAGAAACGCCTGCAACCTCCTGTTCGGTCCTTCCTCATCGCCCCTTCCCACCAGGTCTGCCGTGGCTACTTGGTCAAGATGGGTGGCAAGATTAAGTCGTGGAAGAAGCGCTGGTTTGTGTTTGACCGGCTCAAGCGCACCCTCTCCTACTATGTGGGTGAGTGTCACCGGGCAGCCCTGTGCACAGAGCAGGGGCCCTGGGCTCCACATCCCCCACAGCGAATCCAGAAGTCTCCAAGGAGGGGTCCAGAGGCTCTAGCTGGCAAAAGTGTAGAATGTACTTGGTTCATCTCCACGTGCTCACTCTGTAGTATTACTGAGCATCTAGAAGGTTCCGGGCAGAGTTCTAGGCTATGGGACAAGCAAGATGGCCACAGCTCACTCTCCTGGAGCTCATTCCCAGGGCAGCAGATACTGATCAAAGAGTTGAATCACAGTAAGCCCTGCATTGGGGGATCAGGCCTGCAATCCTAGTGACTCAAGAGGCTCAGATCTGAGTCCAGCCCAGGCAGGAAAGTCCATGAGATGATTATGTCCAGTTAATCACCAAAAGGCCGGAAGTGAGGGTGTGGCTCAAGTAGTAGAGCACCAGCCTTGAGTGAAAAAGCTAAAAGACAGCTCCCAGGCCTGGAGTCCAAGCCCCAGTACTGGCTAGCTCACAAATAATAATAACAGTAATAAAGTAGCAGCAAGTTTTCTGACGGACGACAGCCGCCAGGAGCACTGGGTGAGGCCCGGGGCCGCCGCTCAGCTCCCTCAGGACTCCTCAGCACCAAGCAGGGCCAGGAGCCTCGGGCCAGCCCAGGGCAGGCAGCTCCCACCTGTCCCCTTGCCCTGGTTCTGTGTAGTTTGCCCTCCCAAATCTTGTCTGCATTTCCCTTGGTGGAGCATGAGGTGCAGAGCCCTCCCCGGCCCAGAACGAGGGGCTGGCTGAGGAACCGCGGCCCTGCGCACCATCCTGCGCACCACAGCGTCCTCCCCTCCCCTCCCCCCTCCCCTCCCCTCCCCTCCCCTCCTGAGCCGTGGCTGGGGAGGGGCAGGGCCACAGGTGTTCTCGCAGGTGCAGGGAGGATGTTGAGGCTGATAGACTGCTCATTTCGGAGAAAGGTCCAGGTGAGAGGCAGAGCGATAGTTGAGTGGGTGGCGATAACACAATCACAAGAGCGCACGTTTATGCTATCTACCCGCACATGGGAGCCAAGTGCCACGCGCAGCGGCCTCCAGGCTTGCACTCCTATGAGCAAAGCTAATTAGAACTAAATAGGGAACACATGTGTTAAAGATCAGGCCGCTTGCCCAGTCTCCTAAGCTCTAAGAGACAGAGCGGAAGTGGAGAGAGATACAGTTCCGGGCGCAACTTCCTGTGTAAGGAAGGAGCAGGAGAGGCCGGCCAGGCAGGAAGCCAGCGCTGACCCTGTGCCAGGTGCTGGGCTGGTGCTTGCCAATTGCAGCCATCCTCCACATCTGTGAAACAAAAGGAGACCACGTTCTGGCAGGTGGTGGACACAGAAGGAAGCAGACATTTGACAGCCAGAGGTATTACCAGAGATAATGGGTGTCACAATGAGCCCAGGGGTGGTGTGGTCCAAAGGCTGTTAAATCCAGCATTAGAGCAATGGAGAGGATGCGGGCGGGGCCAGACCCGAGCCGCCCAAGGCCGGGTGGGTGGGGAGGGGCGGGTCACTTTCCAGTGAAGGAAGGAGTGGGAGCCAGCAGGAGCCCGCGGGGTGGCCAGGCCTAGAGCCAGGGTCCTTGCCCTGAGGGAGAAGCATTGGAGATGGGACAAGGACCAGGACCCGAGGTGCCTTGCCCATGGGGCTGGCAGCCAGGTACAGGTGGGCTCTGTGAAGGCTTTGGAGAGTCTACCTTGCCCAGGCCAGCTCCCACTCTCCTCCGAGCAGTTCTCCGGGGTCTGTCCGTCCTGGGACGTCATCCGGGCTCATCGTGGTGAAGTGACAGGTGCTAGATGCTTTGAATGTGTTCTTGCATTGTGCACTTGTTAGCAAGCTGCAGGCCTGGATTTCCTAACCACCCCCTGGCTCATGGGAAGCTGCGTTTGGAGAAGGTTTGGTGACACTCGGGTAGGACGGGCGCCTTGCTCATGCTAGGCAGGTGATCTGCTGCGGAGCTGCACCTCTGGGTCTCGGTGCCAAGGACTTCCCCACCCCCACATTGTTCTAGTGACGTGATGTGCGCCTGGTGTTGGCGCAGGTGAAGTTATGAATGGATCGAGGATTCAGCATGGTGAATTCTAGACGGGATTCACCACGATGTGTTGTAGTGATGATTTTTGCCATGGGTCTTGAAGGTTGCTTAGGAGTTTGCCAAGGGAACGAGCAGAAGGAAACCATTCCAGTGCATGAAGAGCGGGCCGGCTGGGGGTGGTGAGGAGCTCAGCCGGCTCCCTGGACTTGGCGTCCGTGCTGGGAGCCTGGGAGACAAGGCGGGGGCATGGGGACACCAGTCTCGACAGGGCCTGTGCCAGACCAAGAAGGCAGCTGCTTCCCTGAAGAGGAGCCGGCAGGGAAGGTGGGGGCTGAAGTTGCAGGCTCAGGTTTGCTTCTGGAAGCTTCTCCCTCTGCATGGTGGAAGAGGAGTTGGAGGTCCCAGGGTGGGCCCTGGGAAGGCTGGAGCAGGACCAGCAATGCAGGCCATCCAGGACTTGGCCTGAAATAACCCCAGGGCGGGAGAGGGGTCAGGAGGAGCTTACCACCAGCTGTCGCCTCTGACCTTAGTGACCGGCATGGCCTCTCCCATGGGGCTCAGGCTCCTGGTCACGGCTATCGGCCCTGTGGACCACAGACGAAGGGCGCAGGCTTAGCTTACCATACCACGCGGTCCCTGGCTCTGCAGGCTTCCTTCCTTCCTCCTGCCAGCGATCTCAGTTATGCTGTGTGTGCGGGCACTAATGCTGTTCACACCGAGTGAAGCCTTATGTGGGCACCGCAGGCTCCGTGGTACCGTTTTCTTCTCAATATGATGTCAGCATGTCCATATGGTTCAATATCGAGATGTACGAAAACGTTTGAGAAATATCCTCACCAAAGATTCTTTTTTTTTTTTTTTTCTTTTTTGGTCAGTCGTGAGGCTTGAACTCTGGGCCTGGGCGCTGTCCCTCAGCTCTTCAGCTCAAGGCTAGCACTCTACCACTTGAGCCACAGCGCCACTTCCAGTTTTCTGGTGGTTAATTGGAGATAAGAGTCTCACGGACTTTCCTACCCCAGCTGGCTTTGAATCACAATCCTCAGATCTCAGCCTCCTGAGTAGCTAGGATGACAGGCGTGAGCCACTGCTGCGTGGTGACTCACAGATTCTTATCTCTCTCTCTTTTAAAATATCAAAGGTAGCTGGTAATACTGTGCATTCCCTTTCTGCCTCCTCAGGTGGCTTAGTGATCTTTCTCTATCAAATAGAGCTTTAGGTATTTATAACTAGGTGCAAGCTATTTTTTTTTTCTGGCCCTGGGACTTGAACTAAGGGCCTGGGCTCTGTCCCTGGGCCTTTTTGTGCTCAGTGGTAGCACTGTACCACTTGAGCCACAATACCACTTTCAGCTTTTTCTGAGTAGTTTATTAGAAATAAAGAGTCTCATGGACTTTCCTGCCCAGTTTGGCCTCAGATCATGGTCCTCAGATCTCAGCTACTTCTGAGTAGCTAGGAATATAGGCATGAGCCACGCGTGCCTGGCAACTAGGTGTATTTTATAGACATATTTTTCAATCTATACCTAGTGATAGATTTCTCCATGTATTTCTGATATTTCTGATAGGGTTTTTTTGTTTTTTGTCAGTCGTGGGGCTTGAACTCTGGGCCTGGGCGCTGTCCCTCAGCTCTTTAGCTCAAGGCGAGCGCTCTACCACTTGAGCTACAGCGTCACTAGTGGTTTATTGGAGATAGGAGTCTCACGGTCTCTCCTGCCTGGGCTGGCTTTGAACCTCGATCCTCAGATCTCAGCCTCCTGAGTAGCTAGGATTACAGGCGTGAGCCACCAGTGCCCGGCTTTCTGATATTTCTGTATTACTGTGTTTATCAGTTGAGTGATAGTCCATCATAGGTCTCGGAGTGTGGCTCAAGTGGTAGAGTTCAAGCCCCAGTACTTCCCAAAGCAAATAAACTGCCAAAACCCATTGATATCAATATTCCATCCTATGCACCACCATGATTTATTAGATCATCTCTACTTGATGGATACTTGAGTTTTATTTATCTATTTATGTGAGACAGAGTCTAGTCTTGAACTCTGTTGTCCTGCCTCAGCCTTCTAGGGATGACATTTGTGCACTACTATGCCTGGCACCTTTCTAGTTTGTTGTGGTGGTCCCGGGGCTTGAACTCAGGGCCTGGGTGCTGTTGCTGAGCTTTGTGGTCAAGACTGGTGCTCTACCGCTTGAACCACAACTCCATTTCCCCTTTTTGGTGGTTAATTGGAGATGAGTCTCATGGACTTTCCTGTGTGTCATGGACTTTCCTGCTCTGGCTGGCTTTGAACCACGATTCTCAGACTAGAGCATCCTGAGTGGCTACGATTGTCAGCACATGCCACCGGTGCCCTGGCTTACCTTTCTAATTTTGACGGTTGTGGTCAAATGGCTCCCGAGAGTTTTGTTACTCACACCTGCCCTCGGTTGGACTGCGTGTTTCTCCATGGCCGTGCCAAAACGGTGCCGTGTATTCTCGCTGCAGTAAGGTGTCATTTGCATTCTGCAACGACTGCTGCCAGGGCTGAACAAGGTCCCTGCTGGCCTGTGCTGGGAGCGCAGGGCAGCCACGCCCACCACCCACCTCCCAGAGCCGGAAGCTTAGGACCTGTGCACCTTGGCTCCGCCCTCCTGATCCCGGCCCTCATCATTTACAGACAAGCATGAGACGAAGCTGAAGGGGGTCATCTACTTCCAGGCCATCGAGGAAGTGTACTACGACCACCTGCGCAGTGCAGCCAAGGTCAGAAGCGGGAGCGGCAGAAGGGGCCGGCGGGCACGGCCTGGCTTTGCAGGCCTGGCTCTGCGGTGTGGGAGCAGGGGGCTCTAGCCTGCCCTCTGCCGAGGCTCCACCGCATCCTCTTGCCGACATTCTCTTCCTTTCTCCCTCTCCCCTCCCAGAAGAGGTTTTGTCGCTTCACTATGGTGACCGAGGTACCCCTCCCCACGTGCCTCTAACCACAACTGCGCCATTAACACCTCCTTTGTCCACCTGCCGCTGACCCTGGGCCCCTCCTCTACCCTTCTAACTGGCGCCGGGCGGGTGGATGCCTGCGTCTTGTCTGGTGCAGGTGTGGCCCGCGGGAGCAGGGAGAGCTGGCGGGGTGCAGGGCACTTCCAAGTCCCAACGGGGAACTGAGGAGAGATGCGGCTTGGTACAAGCCAGCTTGCCTCCTGCCTGCACCCCGAGGCCCCCTAGCCCTGACCGCTGCTCCCCTGGGGACGTGGCCCAGCATCTTGCCTTCCGCTTTCCTGCCTCTTCTCTGCCAAGAGGAGACCCATCCTCTCCGGCCTTTGGGGACTGATTTTATTGTTGTCACTTTTGAACCTGGTCATGCCAAGAACCAGTGTCCCCAGCGGGGCCCGCCCCCCTGCCAGGAGTACTGAGATGGGATTGGTGGGTGAGGAAGCTCCGCCCACCTGGGGGGGCAGGAGGGATGAGGGGAAGAAGGGGAGACCCGGCTCCAGGGCCTCCTGGGGGCTGGGAGGAGAAAGGCAGACAGGAGGCCGGGGAGGAGAGAGTTGCGCGAGTGGGTGAGCCCTGCCTTAGACTGGCCTCTTCCCTCGGCAGAGCCCAAACCCAGCCCTCACCTTCTGCGTGAAGACCCACGACCGGCTCTACTACATGGTGGCCCCCTCTGCCGAGGCCATGCGCATCTGGATGGATGTCATCGTCACAGGGGCAGAGGGCTACACCCAGTTCATGAACTGACCCACCGTGGGCCTTCTGCCTCCTCCCCCCCACCCCCCCGTGGTGGCTGCAGGACTCAGGCCCAGCCGCCCGCTGCTCTGCTCCCCTAGAGACACGGAGCCCCACCGAGGGGGTGCAGCCAGGGTCCGCAGTTCAGTGCTGTAAGGTTCTGGGCTCCCATCACTGAAGAGCCAGCCAGAGAGGAAAGGTGGGGAAGGGGCTTTGCCGCCTCTCAGGAGCCCAGAAGTTGGAGGTTGCTCCTGGGCCTGCAGGTCAGGGTCACTGACAACCGCCGCCGCAGCGCCTGCTCTCCCCAACTCGTTTTCTTTGACAAATTATGGTACCAGAATCTGCCAAAGATCCCTTCCCTCTTCAGCTCCCTTTTGGGGCTCTGGGAGCCATGCAGAGCCACGTTTGGTGGGGGGCAGCCGCCCAGGCAGACACTGCTCAGCCCTGCTCCGCCGCGCCTCTCCTCCATTTACACTTTCCACTACTTTGTTCAAGGGCCAGACACCTCCCGGGTCACCTCACCCTTGAGGTCCCAGCCCGCCCCCTGTCGCAGACCCAGCCCCATGGTCTCCATGGAGACCGCCTCGTTGCCATGGATACATACTAACCGCCTCGCCAGCTCCGAGGCGCAGCCCGCTGCCTCGCCAGCGGTGGGTAGTGAGGGTACGAGCCATCATCTCTCCAGCCCAGCCCTCTGGGCATCTCCTGGGGGAGGGGACCGGACACCTCCCTGCGGCTCCCCCCCCCAGCCCAACCCTCTCCCTTCCACTCGTGCCTTTGCTTAGCGCCAGGAGGGATGGCACCAATGCGGACGGGAGAGGAAGCTAAGCACCGTCCTCTCCTCCCAGGGTGGATGCCTGACCCGGAAGTGGGTGCTCAGCCCACTGAGCAGAGGGGATGCGGAGGGGGAGGGCCCAGGGCTGTGGCCAGCCTCCAGAGGGTGATGGGGAGGAGAGAGGAGGACCAGGCTCCAGTGGCCTGGCCTCAGCCCTTCACGCCTTAACACTAAGCCCACCTCCCCGCCCTCCCCCCAGCACCGGCCCTCGGTTGCCTGGACCTAAGCTGGGAGGTTTGCAGTATTTGTAAGCATTTCAGCAGAACAATAAAGCATTTGGACTATGGAGGTGCGTGACAGGCCAGCGGGGGGTGGGGTGCGGTGAGACGCTGACCTCCATGTCACTGCCCAGTCCCTGTGCCTCACAGTAGAAGACGGGGGGCAGGGACAGGAGAGCCCCCAGATGGGAGGAAGGACCTGTTTAATGAGGAAGGAACTGAGGCCAGGAGAGCATGCACAGGAAGGCTGTCCTTGTCCTCACTTTCAGGGCCACTGAGGCAGGAAGCTGAGCAGAAGCGTAGCCACCAGACAGCAGGGCACCTGGAGAGCCAGCGGGGCCCCTGAGGTCAGCCGGTCCCCATAGCGGTCCAGGAGCATCAGGGCCACACCATTGGTCCAGCCAAACCCCTCCTAGAGACAGGCAGGACAGTGGGGAGAGGAGGCAGGGCACCCGCACCCTGTTTGGGGTATTGGAGCTCCTCCCCAGGGTCTCTGGCGCCATCTGTCCTCCAGAGGCAGCAAGGGGCAGCAGGCAGCCGCCCCAGGCAGCGGGGCTTACGTGCCCTGACCACGCATGGCCTAGCGGGGCTCACTGCAATGCGGGGGACAGTGGTGTTCAACAGCCCACCCCCACCTGGCTCACCTGAACTTCATACTCCCCTCCACCACCTGGCTGTCCACCGCTGCTGACGTCATACTGGGGACAAGGGGACGGTGGTAGGTCAGGCGCTGGTCCCCAAGCCACCCACCACCCCAGCAGGTCAGTCAGCCCAGCTCCTCTGGCCTGCAGCGATGGTCCCTGCAGTTCCCAGGAATGGCCACTGGGTGTCACCACCATCCTGGCTGGGCCGCCCTGGTCCAGGAGAAGCCTGACACCCTGGCCTCCTCTAATGGAGGAGGTCCCCGGGGACAGAGGGACGCCCAGCGCCAGCTCACCTTCTCATACATGGCTGACTTTTGGGAGTAGACGTCAAAGTTGGTTCTGATCCAGTGCTGGGCCAGCTGGAAAGCCACTTCTTGGGTCCGAGGGGACACTGACTTGGTCAAGCCTAGGGCCCCAGGCAAGGCAGGACCTGAATCTCCAGAGCCTCCATCCCAGCAGAGCAGAGGCCGGGGGACTTGGTTGCCCCCAGGCCTCCTTTCTGGACCCTCAGGCCATACCTCGGGGTAGAGAGAAGGGACAGGGGCTGGACATGTGTGCTGAGCGGGGCCAGAGCAGCCCAGGAGGCAGGGGAAGGAGGAGGCCTGCATCTCTAGTCCACAGCGCCCAGAAGCCCAGCTTGGCCCGTCCTCCGTGGGGCCAGGTCCTGGCAGATGCCCCCTGCCTGCCTGCCTGCCTACCTCTGATGACCAGGTCCTGGAGGGGGGCCCAGCCATTGGGGAAGTCCCACTGCTGGCCTGTGTTGAGGAGGGAGGTCGGGATCCCATGCTGGTAGGTCAGGATTTGGCTGTCCTAGAAGGTTCCAGATATTTCCTTGAGTGAGTGTAAGCCAAGGATGCTTCCTCAGGAGGAAGCCCGCTCCCTGTGCCCTTTCTGGCCTGGCCCTTGTCTTCTTGGCTCGCAGCTGCCCCCATCTGGTCGCGGTGGGAACTACAGGCTGAGCTAGGCTCAGAGAGGAGGGAATGGCTGGCCTGCAGGTCTGTGCTGTCAGCAGAGCCAGTGCTGCTGCAGGGCCCCAGAGCTGCCCCTCCTCCCCCCTCGCTGCTCCCCTCACCTCCAGGTATTTCAGAGCCTTGTCTGGGATGCTGGAGTCAGAGAAGCAGCCGGCCCAGAGCGGGGTGAGGTTGGATGGGTAAAACTCCAAGTTGTTCCTGCCATTTTCTAAGTCATAGTCGAACCAGGCTCCTTTCTGCTCCTGCCAGAGGACGGCCTGCATGGCGGCCATGCGCTGGGCCCGCAGGTTCCTGTACTTGGTGGCCTGGGCGTCGTTCCCTGGGGGACATGACCTCCGGTCTCAGCAGGCGGGGCTCTGCCCCTGGGCACTAGGCTTTCTATAACTCTCCTTTGTTCTTCATTTATGCTCCTCCCCAAGAGTAAGAAATCCTGTTGCTGAGGGAATGCTCCTCCAGGAGCCCAGTCCACTTGTTTCTCTAGGTCCTGAGTTCTCTGGCCAATGGCTCTGCATTGCCCCCGGGCCTCATTGGTCTGTCCCCTGGCCCATGCTGGCTAGGTGAGTTTCTCTGGCTCTAAGGGGTAGTTGTGTCAGCAGGCAGCTTTGCGTTGTTGAGTGTTTGGGGGAATGGATGAGGATATTCCCTCCCAAGCCCTGAGGCCCTCACAGCTCCAAAGGCAGGTGGAGGGAGGGAGGATAAGGGGAGACATACAGGTCACTGGTGACCCACACCTGTAATCCTAGCTACTTGGGAGACTGAAAGCTGAGGATCACTGTTTGAAGCCAGTCTAGGCTGGAAAGTCCGTGAGGCTCTTATCTCTATTTACCCACTAGAATACTGGAAGTGTGTCTGTGCCTCAAAATGGTAGAGCAAAACAGCTGAGGGGCAGGGCCCAGGCCCTGAATTCAAGTCCCGTGACCAAAAAAAAAAGCAGGCTGGAGAGGTGGCTCAGTGGTAGAATGCTTGCCTAGCTTGCACGCTAGGGTTTGATTCCTCAGTACCACCTACACAGAAAAAACTGGAAACGGCGCTGTGGCTCAAGTGGTAGAGCACCAGCCTTGAGCTGAAGAGCTCTGGGACAGCACTCTGGCCCAGAGTTCAAGCCCTAGAGCTGACAAAAAAAAAAGAACAAAAAGAAGTGGAAATGTGGTCCAAGTGGTAGAGCAGCAAATTTGAGGGCAGAGCAGGAGGTCTGAGTTCAAGCCCCACTTAGAGCACAGAGCCAGAGCATCCCAGGCTTCTTTATCCTTCCATTTCATTGCCGTGTGGATGTGGAGACCCGCGCTGGCCGCCCCTCCCCAGGCTTACCTAGCAAAGAGTAGAATTTGCCCATGAGCTCCTCTGCCTGGCACAGGAAGGCATTCAGGTCCACCGGCACCAGTTTGCTGGTTCGGATGCTGCTGAGCAAGTGAGGGTTTGGGCCTCCAACGAGCCAGCGTGAAGAGAAGTCCCACCCAGACTCGGCCCCAGCCTTCAGCTCGGCCCACAGAGCCTCTCGGCTCCCTGGAAGGATAGAGCAGGGCCCCGGCCAGCCTGACTGTGGGGAAAATGCAGCAGCCGACAGGGTCCCATGCCAGATGCAGAGGCTGGGTGCCCTGGCCCCCCCCCCCCCTGTTGCTGCTCACCTTCTGGCACTGTGTCTGCCAGTTCCGCGTCTTTGCTGTAGGACTCCGGCCTGAGAAAGGGAGAAGGAGTAACCTGACTAGAGGCCTCTAAGCCCCTCTCCTCAAGTTCCCCATATGTGTGTGTGTGTGTGTGTGTGTGTGTGTGTGTGTGTGTGTGTGTGTGTGTGTGTGTGTGTG